GCCTCCACCTCCCCTCTGACCCTTTCCGCCCCCAAAGGCAAGGGATGTCTGTTGCAGCCAACTTTGCCCTGAAATCCACTATAGTTTGAGTCCATCTCTGCTTTCCTGTCCCCTTCATGTCTACCCTGCACTCCCGCCTGGCCATTTCGGTAAGCTAGAGCTTAAATCATTTCCCAAACCCCCTTCTCTCCCCTCCGGTGTCATGTTGCAATGGTGATGGGGGACAAGGGTGGGGGCCCTGAATTGGATGGCTGGGTCAGTCCTGCCAAGAGATGGGGGGGGGCCAATTGGCTTTGGAAGGGTCCCCTCTCTCTCCCTAGCCAGCCTAGACAGAGTGGGAAATGGCTGGCATCTCCCCACTTTTCAGGTGAGGACACCAAGGCACTTAGCAAGAGGAGAGGCCAGGGGCCTGAGTGTGTGAGAAATCGTCTCCTGGGAGCTGACCTGCCTTCTCTGGGCCAGCGCTCCTCCCCTTTCCTGAAACATTAAGGCTCAGCTCCTGCAATAAGTGCAGTGGGTGTGTGAGATCGGATTCAGAGTCGGAAACCCTGGGATGGGGACCCAGCTGTGTGACCCGGGTGTGCTGCCGAAACTCTCTGAGCTCCAGGATCCCAATTTCTGACGTGAGGACTGAGTGTCATCATCTTTGCCCGGGGCCTGGGCGAGGGGGGCATGCCATGCTGGGTGTGGAAGTGCTTTGTAACCAGCTCGGCTCCAAAGCAGAGGCTTCACTTGGTGCAGGAGGTAGTCACAGCTGCTTGCCCAGGTGTCTCCCATGCCCTGTGCTGGCCCAACATCTGTACGGGAGGTTGGAACTAGGAGGGTTGAGCCAGCAAACCTTTTCCCTGCAGATGTTCAAGAACCATCTGAGAGTGTGAGTGTGTGTGTGGGTGAGAGTGAGAGAGAGAGAGAGAGAGAGAGAGAGAGAGAGAGAGAGAGAGTCAATAGGGTCATTGAATTCAGCCTTACTGGGGCAGGGGTCCTTGTGCCCACACCTGCCGAGTTGAAAGATGGCTACAGACACATTCCTGAAGAATCAACGGGCCTGCTGTGTGGGAGACAGAGAGGGCGGAGGGTGGGCTGGGAAAGTTGGGGAAGTTCCTGGAGGAGGCGGGTGGGGAAACGTGGGTACTTGCTGTTTCCTCATCCCGTGCCCTCTCCCAGGTGTGGAAGGCTCACTCTGAGCTGGGAGCTGGGTGTGGATGAGTGAGGAGGCCTCTGACCCAGGCATTGAGAAAGCTCAGAGAGGGAAGAGGTTTCCCCGCCCCTCACCCCAATATCTCCCTCCCATGGACAGCCTCAAGGACATGAGCAGGAGAGGGTCCCACCTCACTGCCTGTGACAGCCTGTCGCTCTGCAAGCCACCAGCCCCATAGACCCCTAATCAGAGTGACAGCTCCAGGGAGCATGCCTGGAGGTCCCACTCCCACACCTTTCTCACCCTCCCAGGGAACAAGGACTGTCTAGGAACAGAGCAGTGCATTAAGGCCCCTCAAGCCTCCGTGAAAGTAGGTATGGCTCTCTCCACATCCCAGACTGCCCCATTGGCCAAACCCGATGGGCTCTGGGCTCTGGCCCAGTCTTAAGGTCCCTATGCACTTCCCCTCACCCCCAACCTCAGGGGCAGTAGCTAGCACCCCCCCCCACGCCACCCCCACTCTCAGAGAGTCAAGGAGACAGGAGAAATCCATGGGATGGGGATGGGAGTGGATGCTGGGGGGTCATGACCCAGAGCAGGCTCCGAGGTAACCAGGCCAATGGAGCCCCAGACTTCCAGGGCTCCCAGAAATCGGAGGACCCTTCATGCCTGCCCTATGTCACTCCCCCGTGCTCCCACAATGCCGCTCACTCTCTGAGTGTGAATGCCCAGAGCGCAGGCACTGAGCACTACTCAGTGGGGAATGCTGGCAGCCAGCACAGGGCCACACGGGGCTGGAGCGCTAGGCGATGATGGGGGGATGGCTGGGGGGACAATGGCTTATCAGGTCCCATTTAATAATCTGGAGAACAATACTAGGCATCATGTCTCCTGGTCCCTCCTCTCCCCGCCCCCTCCCAACACACAAACCTACCCAGAACTCAAGCAATAAGGACAATGGGAAAAGGGAAGCCAAGTGAAGGGGGTCCCTGCCCTTCTGAGCAGCCTGACGCTGGCCATGGGTCTCTGGTGCTGTGGTCTTTTTTCTTTTTAAATATATTTTTCTTGATTTCAGAGAGAGAGAGAAACATCAGTGATGAGAATCATTGATCGGCTGCCTCCTGCATGCCCCACACTGGGGATCGAGCCCACAACCCGGGCATGTGACCTGACTAGGAATCCAACCGTGACCTCCTGGTTCATAGGTCGATGCTCAACTCCTGAGCCACACTGGCTGGCACTGTGGTCTTTTATCCTCACAGCCCACCTGAGGGCAGGGAAAAGGGAGGGCTTATAGCTTAGGCTCCACTGCCCAGAAGAAGGGCCTGAAGAGGCTGTGTTAGAGGGGAGCAGGGCAGGACAGTGTTCTTATTCTTTTAAATTTTAACATTGTCTTAATCAAGCAATGTAGTGGTTTACAACAGGGAATTTTAAGGCAGTTGAATAGAGCAAAGTGAAGGATTACTCTGTTAGGATAGCCTCTGTGAATAAAACTCTTATGTGGATTTAGAATAGTGTTCTTGAGCCCTCCCCATCCAACACTGTCCCCCAGACCTGCTTCCCTCTCAGCACCCCCCTTTCTGATCATGGAACTGTCTTTCACAGCATCACCTAAGCTGGAGTCATCCTTGGACCTCCCTCCCCCATGACCCCCACATCTCATCAGTCACCAAGTCCCAATGGTTCTGCTACAGAAAAGGCCCCAGAATCTGTTTCCTCCATCCCACTCCCTTCTTTCTCCGGCACCCCAAGTCTTCTCCTTCCCCTTCGCCAGAGATCTCTAAAAATACTAATCACTCCTGCTCAACACCCTTCAGCGACACCCGTCACCTTTAGTTCAAAGGCCAAATGTCCAGCCTGCGTGGGAGGACCTCAAAGGCTCCTGCTCACCTCCAGCCATGCCCGCCATGTCCATGCCCGCCGCGTGCCCAGCATGGCCTTTGCTCCTGGAAGGCCAGGGCCTCAGGCCTTGGTGCATTTGCTCTGTCTGTTTCCCTACCTTGAGTTCCCTTTCTGTCTCCAAGATCCAACGTCAAGGTCACTCCCCTGAAATTCCCTGGATGCTGGTACCCACCCCTCGGAAGCCTGTTGTTAACTTGGACAAACTCGTCTGCACCTGCGGTTGTCTAGACAGCACTGTCCTAACAGGAGGGTATGCTGCCTTTTGAAAAATGTGGATCCCTAAATAAATACCGTATTTTCTCCCTTATATGCAGAACCCAGAAAAGTCAAACTCATAGAAGTAGAGTAGAAAGGCAGGTGCCAGGGGCTGGGGAGTCGGAGACGTTGCTCAGAGGGTACAGACTTCCAGCTATAAGATAAATAAGGTCTGCGGTCTGCGATGTAAGGCCCAGCATGGCGACTGCATTAACCATACTGCGTTATGTGATTGAAAGGCGCGGAGAGAGTAGATCTTAACTGTTATCAGCACACACGTGCAAAATCATAGTTACCTGAGGGGACCGAGGTGTTCACTAACTTACTGTGGTAAATATTTTATAATATATATGTGTTCTAATCACCACACTGTACACCTTAAACTTACACATTATATGTCAATAATATCTCAATAAATCTGGGGGTGGGGGGCAATACGAATCCTTCAAGCAATGGCGTGGACCTAGGGGGTTGTCTGTAAATTTTGATGAATTAATGAGTGCCTTTTGGACTCACACACACACACACTCTAGAAACATCATACGATCAGATACGCTGTTACTCAGATTCACACCCTTGATGTCCCCAAGGCTTCAGGTGGAGGAGCTGGCACCAGCCATCAGAGCATTCCCATTCCCTGCTTTGCTAATGCAGTGACCTCTCCCTCCAATGTCCCTTCTCCCCTTCTCCCTGTTCCAAGCTCAGCACGCCCCCCTTGCTTCAGGAGGCCTTTCCTGGTGCCCCCGGGGATACCTGACCTTTCCCCATCATATCCCTGGGGCTACGTCCCACGAAGCACCCACATTATTAATCTGCTCGTTTGGTGTCTGTCTCAGCCCAAAGACAGATTCAGTCTTGGCCGGAAGGGGGAGGGAGTTTGAGGAGAGAGACTGGAACGTATTGGTCTCCAGGCCCCAGGTGCTCACTTGTACAGAGAACACAGTGGGTGCCCAAGTATTCACCCAAAGAGCAGGCAACCTGCTGAGAGTTCAGAGGGTAGCCCTCTGGCAAAGCTCCCGACCTGGGTTGCAAGCGAAGTTCCCAGCAGCCGCCCCCAGGAAGCAGGCAGACGTTCCCACCCTTCCCACCTCCCCACACTGGGCCTGCCTCTCCTTATTTCCCCCACGGCCATTCTGTGCCTGTCAGCCGGAATCACCCTCACAAATTCATTCACCCGTTTTCCCCAGAAATCAGCCAGCTGCCCCTTCGTGCTTGCAGCCAAACCTCTGCAAAGTCATCCCAGCCGGGGAGAAGCGGAAATCCTGGCCAGGAGTCCAGTGGCCAAAGGGAGAGGGGCTTCCCTGGTCCATCCCTCAGCTGGAGTGTCATGCACCTTGCCAACCCTGCCCTTCAGAGACCAGAGCAGCATCCCGGGATACCCTGCAGGTGAGGCCTTTGTCCGAAAGTCTGTCCCTGCCAGGGGACTCCAGCCTGGGGTCCTGATCCCAAAAGACCCCACAGGGAGGCCCCCCCCAGACCAGTAAAACCTCAGAGGAGGTTTCAGCCGAAAGACCCTCAGATCCAAGAGGGATGTCCAGATGCAAAAAAAAAACAAAACAAAAATTGACAACATCTGGGGGACTTGAGATGCTAAAAACCATTGAAGGCACCCCACACCCAAAGACCCCACAGAGAGAAGCCACAGACCCAGCCCTCAGAGGGGCCCAGAGCCCAATGTGTAGGCACAGTGCCCCCCTGCACTGACCTGGCCCTGCGGGGGCCTTTCCCAGGCTGAGCTGCCGCAGCCGCCTCTGGTGGGCCCGCCCCTCACAGTGCACCTGGGCCTGGGCTGCTGAGTTCAGCTGGATGTTGCAGACGTCACAGAGCGTGTACGACGGCCGCTTCCTCTCACGTTTGGGCTTAGGCAGTTCTGGGGGCTGAGGGGGGCACTCCGCAGCTCCAGATATGGGGGCCTCCTTCTCAGCAGGGGGAGAGGGGCTCAGTGGCCGCTTCATTCCTGAACAGATAGAGAGGGAGACAAATACTGTAAAACAAAGGCTGAGTGTTGTGAGTACACAGAAGGAGCAAGACGGGTTCCAGATCCAGAGATAGCTGAGCCTTTTATCCCAGCTGAAAGTCCCCAGCGTTTGGAGAGCCCCAACCTGAGGATGGCAAAGGGAGCACAATGGGGCCTATTTCAAACAAAGCAGCATTCATTAAAAGGCAGGCATATCTGGAAGAGAGTCAGAAAGGTGTACACACGGGGCGGCCTGCGCCGGGGGGCACGGCCACAGAGCAAGGCTGAGAGGGAAGCTGGGGTCTGGGAGAGCAGGTGGGCACGCAGGGCCTGGCAGCAGTGAGCTTGGTGGAGTCCGGTTTGGGGGAGCCAGCACTCCGCTCTCAGCGCCCGGGCAGGCGCTGACAATCCTGTGACAGGCAGGCATGTGGCGCTTGCTGGAGTCGCAGCAGTCGCTGGCCAGGGTGGTGACTGCAGAAACCCAACCTCCCTGTGTCCAGGGCCCAACCCGCTGACATTCACAAACGGTGGCAGTGTGTGAAGCCATCGGCACCCCGACCCACGTGGCTCCAGATGGTCCCTGCAGTCTTGGCCATCCAGCCTGTGGCAACAGTTGGTGTTGGTAGTAGAGACCTCGGCCCTACACAGACACAACTCACACACACACACACACACACACACACATACACACACACACACTCCGGCTCCCACAGAACTGGCACATCATCCCTTCAGGCCCCTCACCTTCCAGACAGTCTTTCCTTTCCAACTCACGTACACATGAAGCTTCCCACCTGACTCCTCTGCCTCTAAGGGCTCTCTTCTGGGGCTGCTCAAAGACCTTTCTCAGGCTGAACTGTGTCAACGTTCACTTTCCGCCTGAATCTGTGTGCATGCTTCCTGCCTCTGCTTCAGACTGGGGACTTCCTGAGGGCAGGGCCTATGTCCCCCTCACCAGGACAGAGAATTCCTGAGGTCAGGGACCGTGTCCCTCTCTCTGATTGGGGGATCCCCAAGGCTCGGACCTAAATGAGGCATAACGGAGCCTCTCTTATGGGCTGAGTTGTGTCCACCAAAAATTCATGTTGGAGTCCTAACTCCCAGTACCTCAGAATGTGATTGTGTTTAGAGAGAGGGTCTTTAAAGAGGTAATTAAGTTAAGATGAGGCCACTAGGGTAGGCCCTGATTCAATATGACGTGTCCTTGTCAGAAGAGGAAATTTAGACGCAGTTACAGAGGAAAGGCCGGATGAAGACACAGGGAGAAGGTAGCCATCTACAAGCCAAGGAGAGAGGCCTCAGAGGAAACCACGCCTGCTGACACCTGGATCTCACATTTCTAGCCTCCAGAGTCGCGAGAAAATACATGTCTGGTGTTTAAGCCACCCGGTCAGTGGTAACTTACTGTAGCAGCCCAGGCCGACGAATACATCCCCTAAAGGGCATTTCCTTTTCCTTAGGCTCATGCTCATTTTGAAAATTAGACCAAGTGAAGTCAACTGATGCCCTAATATTCTCATAAGGCCACACATCCAATGGTGGAGCCCACAACTGGACAAAGAAAATGAATTTCTCAAGTCCACAGCCAAGAACTGGGAGTCCCTGGACCCACCCCCTGCTCTCAGAAACTTGCTCATCAATTTTGTGGGCAGTGCTCCCACATAACATATCTGTCATTACACGGGTGGGGACCATGTGTGAATGGAACAGAGGGGCACAGCGATTAAGAGTGCGAGTTCTAGCTCTGGTCGGTGAGCAGTGGTTAGAGCGTCAGCCTACACACCCAAGGGTCGCAGTTTTGATTCCTGGTCAAGGGCCTGTATCTGGGTTGCAGGTCCAATCCCTAGCCCCAGTCAGTGTGTGTGTGGGAGGCAACCAACTGATGTGTTTCTCTCACCTCTCTCTCTCTCTCTCTCTCTCGCATAATGCGAGGATTAGCTGCACTGAACTACATAAAACATTCCTCCGTGTCCTGTAAAAGGCAGCTATTATTAATCCCAGCAAGGCTGTGCTTTGCAGCTTGTCAGTGGCGTCACCGGTCCATCACCGTGTGTGTCTGTCATGGCCTACCCGGTCACTGCGAATGTCTCCGTCACCCCTGTCACCCCATGGCTTGCTCAGGTGAATCTGAGTTGCTCAATCTGTGTTTCTGTCACCGTGTAGCTGTGTCACAATGTGAGTGTCGCTGCGCCCATTTCATGGAATGAGACTGTCGCTGAACATCTGAGACGAGCCATGTGTTATGGGTTAAATGGTGCCCCCTCAAATTCATATGTCAAAATCCAACTCTCTCCCTTCCTCTCTGTAAAAAATCAATAAAATATATTTTAAAAAAATCCCAGCACTTCGGAATATGAAATACAACCTTGTCTGGAAACGGGGTCACTGCAGATATTATTAGGTTAAGATGAGGCAATACTGGAGCAGGGTGGCCCCCTAATCCAATAGGGCTAGTGTTCTTATAACAGGGGGATTTGGACACAGTCATTCACACAGAGAGAATGCCACGTGATACTGGAGCAGGGTGGCCCCCTAATCCAATAGGACTAGTGTTCTTATAACGGGGGGATTTGGACACAGTCATTCACACAGAGCCACGTGAAGATGAAGGCAGAGATCAGAGTGTTGCTTCTACCATGGAATGAGACTGTCGCTGAACATCTGAGACGCGCCACGTGTTATGGGTTAAATGGTGCCCCCTCAAATTCGTATGTCAAAATCCCAGCACTTCAGAATATGAAATACAACCTTGTCTGGAAACGGGGTCACTGCAGATATTATTAGGTTAAGATGAGGCAATACTGGAGCAGGGTGGCCCCCTAATCCAATAGGACTAGTGTTCTTATAACGGGGGGATTTGGACACAGTCATTCACACAGAGCCACGTGAAGATGAAGGCAGAGATCAGAGTGTTGCTTCTACAGACCAAGGAATGCCACCCTTGGCCAGCAAACCACAGAAGCTAGGGGAGAGGCATGGAACAGACTTCCTCCCTGCCCTCAGAAGGCATTAACCTCCATGACGCTTTGATCTTGACCTTCTAGACGCCAGGACTATGAGACAACAAACGTCTGTTGTTTAGAACACCCGGTGTGTAGCAGTTTGTTACAGCAGCCCTAGAAAACACGTGGATTTGACTTTAGTGTGACCCTAGGTAATTTGAGGGCCCCCTCCCCTCTGCGTGGTAGTGTGGCTGGAATGCAGCACCAGAGAGAGCCTCCAGGTGGCGCAGTGAGCATCAGGCGGAAAGATAAGAAGTGGGACTGGAGTACCCCTCCAGGCAGGGAGGATCCTGCTCCTGGGGCAACTAGGTTGCCCCTCCGAGGCAGGCCCAGCGCCTGAGCAATATGTCTGGAGTCCAGGGCACAGCTCTGCCACAACGGAAAGTTACTCCCATCACCTTGTGAGAACCCCACCCCCATCTCCAAGGCTGCACTGAACCTCTGCCAACATTCTGTGCGCTCTCACCTCTAGCTGGAGGTCACCATAGCTATCTCCTTCCTTTACAAGTGTTTCCCCACCCTCCCAGCAGGAAGACAGGGCAGGAAGAAAGTACCAGGTGCAAATGTTGGAGTGGGGGAGGGATGTCCAACTGGCCAGGGGTAAGAGGTGTCAGGGTAATGAGATTTTTCCAGCCATGCCAAGGAAGCTGCCTGCCCCCTGCCAGAAAGGGGACAGGGAGGGTTTGAAATCTCGATGCAATTTATGACAGGCAGGCCGAGGACATGGCTCAAGAGAGCAGACAAGTATCTGCCAAGAGGCTGATTAAACCTCCGTGATATACGGCCTCTGGGCTCACAGGGCCCGCCTGGATGCCGGGCTATTGGTATCCCCCACGGCCAGGCTGCTGGGCCTGCCACAGCCTGCCCTGCCTTCCCAGGCCTTCCCAGCTGTCCCCGCAGGAGTTACACCGCTCCGGCCGAGCTAGGGCTCCCACCCGGAAAACGCGGAGGGGTGGGCAATTTTTAGGGCACACAAACATCTATCGAACCCCTGTCACCAGCAACAGCAGGTCAGCACTCCCTGCCCTGGCCCCTGTTCAGAACCAGCATGACTCACCCTAGTGGGACCCACACTTGGACAGGCCCTGGCCCCCATGCTCTCTTTAACAGAAGAGGAAATGGAGTCCCAGAGCAGGAGAGCGGGTTTTCTTAAAGTACATGGCAGGGCAAGAGCTGAGAATCTTCTAGAGACTTCCCCACCCCCTCTCTCCCACCTAGCGGCCAGGCCACCTCTTCTTCATGGTGACAACCACTTTACTGAGAGCTTCCTGTGTGCCAGGTGCTTGACACACAGGATCTCTCTCAAACTTCACAACAACAACCCCATGAGGTGGGCACTATTATTAACCTATTACCCCGCCTCACAGATTAGAGAACAGCCTCTGAGAGGTTTTATGGCCGGACCTGAACTTGAACTTGTCTGACTCAGGGCTCCCGGGGAGGCTTGTGGCTGCCCAGGCCCTAGCAGGCCGGGGTGTCAGGCAGGGAGATGCCACATCCTGGTCCGGAGGAGTTGGGGCCAGAGCCAGAGCGGCTGGGAGGAAGGGGTGGGAAGAAAGGGGGAGAACTGAACTGAACTCAAGAAAAGAACAGGTGAAAGCGAGCAAAAGAACATGGGGTGTCCAGGTGTCTGTTTCGCTGTGAGCTACACAGGAGTGGGGGCGGGTAAATCCCTGTGTGTTCTCACCTTCCCTGAGGGATGGGCGGGGGCTGAAGCAGGGAGGCGGGGGCTGGACAACGGGAGGGAGTGACGCACTTGAAGAGCTGATGGAGGCCAGGGGTGCCTGTCTGTGTGTCCATCTGTATGGAGCTGCAGGGATTAGGGGTGGCCGGAGCACTACTGAGAGCCCCATCTTGCAAAGTGACCATGGACTTCCGGCTGGTTTCAGTGGGGCCCTCGGGCCCTGCAGTAAGGTGGAATCCTCTGTCTGCCGATCCAAAGAGGGTTGGACAGGAAGAAATTCGGAGGTCATAAAATACAGGGCCAGAGGTTTTCCA